TCGATCCTGGAGCAGAGACAATACCTGCCCATCTTTGCTGTGCAGCAGGAACTGCTCTCCATCCTCAGGTATGGCTGCCAGGGCATCCCCAGGGCATTGGCCTATGTTTTGGAACCCAAGTGAGGAATTCTTCTAGATTCAATGGCCGTTTGGAAGCTGTATTCTTGGGGAACAAACCCCATTGCTTTCTGTGGGTGGTGGCAGCTCCTAGCTGAGCAGGATGACACTTGGCTGGTGAACGCAGAAGCCCTTCTTTGTGGTGTACAAAGAAATACTTTTTCCCTTTCCTCAGAGACAACAGCATTGTGATTGTGGTTGGGGAGACAGGGAGCGGGAAGACGACTCAGCTGACACAGTACCTGCACGAGGACGGCTACACTGACTACGGCATGATCGGCTGCACCCAGCCCCGCAGAGTGGCCGCCATGTCAGTGGCCAAGCGTGTCAGCGAGGAGATGGGGGTGCGTCTGGGGGAGGAGGTGAGTCTGGCAAGGGGTGCAGGGTTACCACCCGATGACAGTGAGTGCATGGGGCTGTTGGAAGACTTGCTGGTATCTCTACCCTCCTAGGTGGGCTATGCCATCCGTTTTGAGGACTGCACGTCCGAGAACACAGTGATCAAGTACATGACAGATGGGATCCTCCTCCGTGAGTCGCTGAGGGAGGCTGACCTGGACAACTACAGTGCTATCATCATGGATGAGGCACACGAGCGCTCGCTCAACACTGATGTGCTCTTCGGGCTGCTTCGGGAGGTGTGTGTGAGCCCGGCCTACAGGACAGCAGCGGGGGGCACTTTGAGCAGAGTGTTGGCAGGGACAGCCCTTCTCTGCCAGGTCTGGGAGAGGGAAGCAAAGTTGCCATATCTCAGTCTGCACTTGCTGCTCCAGCATCTGGGTTCCTGGTTCTGGAGGGTTAAATCTCTCCTAGTGCTGCCAGAGTCTCGCTGGCTGAGTGTCAGAACTCTCAGTACAGAGATCTTTGCTAGATTAAGGCTTCCTGGACTGAGGTTGGTGGGTCTTTTTAACTGCACAGATCATATAGCATCTGTGGTCCCTGGCATGAGCTACCAGTGCCTCTGTACTACAGCAGAAGCTCTATTCTGTGCTATTGTCTCAGTAAGAATGGAAGCAGCCCACAGCCATGCACAAATGCCCCTTCCTTACTGTTCTTTTCATCTGCTTTCTAGGTGGTGGCCCGACGCTCAGATCTGAAGCTTGTTGTCACCTCGGCCACCATGGATGCAGAAAAGTTTGCCTCCTTTTTTGGGAATGTTCCCATTTTCCACATTCCTGGGCGCACTTTCCCTGTGGATATTCTTTTCAGCAAGGTATGGTCAGTGTTGTGGAGGGAAGTGCTGTTGTGACAGGAGGGGGTTGTGATCTGGATGTGCTGTACTCTGAGGTGGACACACAGGATGGGAGGAGTGGCCATGGTGTGCTGCACTCAGGACAGGCCAGATGAGGTTATTGGCCCTTGTTAAGGTGGGCTCTGCCTTTCAGACCCCACAGGAGGATTATGTGGAGGCTGCAGTGAAACAAGCCCTGCAGGTCCACTTGTCTGGTGCTCCTGGAGACATCCTCGTCTTCATGCCTGGCCAGGAGGATATCGAGGTGAGCTGGAAGGGCAGGCACTGTCCTACCCCCTTGTTTCATTTTGATGTTTATACCCCTCTTTGTGTTTAGGTGACCTCGGAGCAAATTGTGGAGCACCTTGAGGAGCTGGAGAAGGCACCTGCTCTTGCTGTACTGCCAATCTATTCTCAGCTGCCCTCGGACTTGCAGGCCAAGATCTTCCAGAAGGTGCTGATGTGTGATCTGTGATAGGGGTGGGGACAGGGAAAACTGGAGCAGGAGGCAGTACAGAGCAGGAGGGAGGGGTGCAGACATGCCTCTGTATTGAATGTGGAGGGTGAGAGAAAGCATAGCCCCCATTCCAGCTGTCACTTGGGGCTCTGTGTTGCTGCTCCACTCTCGTCCCGGGGGAGCAGAGCCTTGCCCAGGGATGTGACTGATGTGTAGTGTGCTTGCAGGCTCCCGATGGGGTCAGGAAGTGCATCGTTGCCACTAACATTGCAGAGACCTCACTGACAGTGGATGGCATCATGTTTGTGATTGACTCTGGCTACTGCAAGTTGAAGGTCAGCTAGGATTTCCTGTACTGTCTGTCTGTGATCTTTCCTGTGATTGTGATCCAGCCTTCCTCTTACTTCCATCTGATCTTGCACCCTACAGGTTTTTAACCCCCGCATAGGCATGGATGCACTGCAGATCTACCCCATCAGTCAGGCCAATGCCAATCAGAGGGCAGGCCGAGCTGGCCGGACAGGCCCAGGCCACTGCTTCAGGTAGGCACATCACTGGTGTTCCTGTTCCTCTTGTATCCCCAGCTTGGCATCAAGTTACGTATGTTTTTTTCTCACTGGAGCTGTTCATTATCTTGAACTTTGGAGGGATGTGGGCAGCAGGCAGGCCTGAAGGACTTCTCCTTTGGACCCAGTGCCTCTGCAGAGAAAAGGATGTGCTCCAGCTTCTTCCTGTGCCCATCTTCACTTTTGGCTGTTCCGCCCTGGATGCTGTCAGGATAACAGCCAAGCCAAAGGCCTTTCCCAGGCTTTGCTCTGAGACCAGGGAAGGGCTGTGCTTGGGCAGGTGCTGTGCTGCAGCCCAAACACCCCGATGTGCTGGGGAGGACACACTTTGGCTGGGGTAGAGGTGCCTCCCAAGGGTCCCACTGTCTGGGTGCAGGGTTGCTGCCTTGTGCCATGCCATGCTGGGCTGGGCTGGGCAGAGGCTGGCAAGTCTGTAAGGAACACAGTGGCCAGAACAGGAGGAGCATGCTCTTGGCATCTGTTCCCAGGCTTTACACCCAGAGTGCTTACAAGAATGAGCTACTGACAACCACGGTGCCCGAGATCCAGCGCACCAACCTTGCCAATGTAGTGCTCTTGCTCAAGTCCTTGGGTGTGCAGGACCTGCTGCAGTTCCACTTCATGGATCCACCCCCTGAGGACAACATGCTGAACTCCATGTACCAGCTGTGGATCCTGGGGGCCCTGGATAACACAGGTATTGGCTGCTGGGGCAAGCTGCCAGCACATGGAACTGGGACCTGCCCAGTTGCTGATCAGTGATCCCTGTGCTGTTCCTACAGGTGGTCTGACCTCAACGGGACGTCTCATGGTGGAGTTCCCACTGGACCCTGCACTCTCCAAAATGCTCATAGTCTCCTGCGACATGGGTTGCAGCTCTGAGATCTTGCTCGTTGTCTCCATGTTGTCTGTGCCTGCCATCTTTTACCGGCCTAAGGTACCCGTTTCGTTCCAGCAGCTTGGGGCCTTTCACTGCTTGGGGTCCCTGCTTTTTCCCTGACTAACCCATGTTCTTTGCTCACCCTTCAGGGCCGGGAGGAGGAGAGTGACCAAGTGCGGGAGAAATTTGCTGTTCCAGAGAGTGATCACTTGACTTACCTGAATGTTTACCTGCAGTGGAAAAACAACAGCTATTCTACCCTGTGGTGCAATCAGCACTTCATCCATGCCAAGGCCATGCGGAAGGTGAGGCTGTGGCCATGGGGCTGGGGGAGGGAGCCTTGTGCAGGAGAGGGCTCTGACCAGCACACACCTTTGCAGGTGCGGGAGGTGCGTGCCCAGCTCAAGGACATTATGGTGCAGCAGCGGATGAGCCTGGCATCCTGTGGTACGGACTGGGATGTTGTCAGGAAGTGCATCTGTGCTGCATATTTCCATCAGGCTGCAAAGCTGAAGGTGAGAGGTGTCTGAGCTGTCTGGGGGCTGTGAGGCCCTGCCTGGGATCAGGTGGGCTAAGCACACTTGTTTTTGCAGGGCATTGGGGAGTATGTGAACATCCGCACAGGCATGCCCTGCCACCTGCACCCCACGAGCTCTCTGTTTGGCATGGGCTACACACCAGACTACATTGTGTATCACGAATTGGTTATGACCACAAAGGTGAGCTTGAGCTGAGGGCTAGCAGGAAGGGTGACAAGTGCTCCGAGGAAGATGGGAGGGCTTTGCTGTGAGACTGGGGTGGCTGTGAGTGACAGTTCTCAGCCTTTCCCATCTATACCAACTAGGCATGACTGTGTAATCTGCAGGGACCTGTTCATCCCTTTCCCAATATTTTTATCTGTCCTCTGTGGGACATGTTTGAACCTTCTTGTGGTCTCACCAAATCCAACCCATAGCAGGGGGCCTCCTGAGGCCAGGAGGAATTGTCTGGAAGGGGTATGGTCCCAGCCTGAGAAGTGCCATCAGCAAGTGGGGGAGGAAGGGAGCTGCCATGGCTCTAGTCATGGTGCCCAGGCCCCAAGAGTACCATCCTGCTACCCTGGTCTTCACTTCTGTCCCTGCAGGAATACATGCAGTGTGTCACTGCTGTGGATGGAGAGTGGCTGGCAGAGCTGGGCCCCATGTTCTACAGTATCAAACATGCTGGCAAGTCACGCCAGGTAAGTCTCCTGTCCAAGATGAGCTAGCAGACAGCAGGCCCACTGTGTGCTGTTTCTGCTGCTGTGTGTGTGTTTTTTGACTTGGAGGGAATAGGCCATCTCTCTCCTGTCCCTGACCTGCTGCTGCCTTGCTCCAGGAGAACCGCCGGCGTGCCAAGGAGGAAGTGTCTGCCATGGAGGAGGAGATGGCTTTGGCCGAGGAGCAGCTGCGTGCCCGCCGGGAGGAGCAGGAGCGCCGTAACCCACTGGGCAGTGCAAGGTGGGTGCTGGCCCTGCCTGGCCATGGCTTGCCTGCATGGAGCATCCCAGCTTCCCCATGGGCATTCTGGCACAGAGAAAGGTTGCCTTTTCCATTAATCACCCTCGTCCTCTCCAACAGATCTACTAAAATCTACACCCCTGGGCGGAAGGAGCAGGGGGAGCCCTTGACGCCACGACGCACCCCAGCCCGCTTTGGCCTCTGAGAAGGCAGTACCTGTTGCTTTGAGACTTAAGGACTTCCAGGAGCAGCTGAATCTCAGGAGAGTGCCCTACACTGTATTCTGTGAGATCTCTACAGCTTTTGGCCCAGGAAGGCTTTGGTGCTTGGCACTAATTTTGCTACAGAACAGAAAGAATTTTATTTGTTTAAAGGTTGTCAGTCTTAATCCTTGCTTTGTTTTGCGCTGCTTCTTGTCCCAGAGGCGAGTGTTGGGTGGAGGCAGCTCTGCAGAATTGTGCGAGGCTAGTGCTGTCAGATTGTTGCCCTGGAGAACCTGGAAGGAGGCATAGAATTTCAGTGACCTGGAGGACAAATACAGCCTGTCCCTGTTTCAACCCTGGCCTGTACTCATGCAAAGGCAGTTCTCCCACAGCCCATGCCCTTGACAGGTAGCTTGTGCCCAGCTGTCCCTGCACACCTGGGACTGTTGGCCCGGCCCTCTTTCAGGCCAGGCTGTGCCAGGATTCTGCTCACTTTTTCAGCTGCTGCCACTTGTGGGGCTGCTCAGGTGTTCTGACTGTGAGGTGTGGGTTTTACATCCTGCCTGGTGTATCTTGAATGCCTGTCTGTATCCTGCACCTGCTCTGTCACCTTGCTGAGCTCTTCCATAAGGAAAGCCAGCTCCACCTTGCAGACAACCAGCTCCTCTTCTCGCAGAGCCAGAGCTTTCTCACTGTCCACATGTAGCTGCTGCCAGTGTTGGGCTAGTCTGCTCAGGTCATGCAGGCTCTCCTGGAGGGAGTAGACATGCCAGTGGCACAGTGAGAAAGATGGCCTGAGGACAGACTCCTGGTGTCCCACAGGAAGGCTTGAGACATCCTTACCTCTTGCTTCCTCTGCTCCTGGGAGCTCTTCCTCAGCCCCTGATGGAGCTGCTGGCTCTGTGTCTTGTGGACTGCAATCTTTTTCTCCTGCTTGGTGCTCTGTTGCCGGGCTTGGGCCAGTTCTTTCTGCAGGTTAGCTGTGTCCTGCACCTGCCCACAAAGCTGTGGGGCAGGGAGAGTGGTTGGCTGCACCATGGGCAGGCTGAACCTCTCCTGGAGGCAGGAGAGGGCCCTGGCACTGAGGCTGCATTCCTGTCCTGCCCTGCCCTCACCTGTTGCTGCAGCTCTACCACTTCTTGATGTGGGCCTTGGATGGTCTCCTTGGCTCCGCTCAGCTGCTGCAGACTCTGCTGCTTCTGGGCCTCGGTGCCTCCAAACTGCTGCTGCAGCTGAGCCGGGCTGTGCTGCAGGTCCTGACTCTGCGCCTGTGTCCCCAGCTGCAGAGAAGGCAGTGCATCTGTTGGGTTGGCCTCATGCTGTGTGCCCTTCCCTGAGCAGGGGCACAGCTGCCCTCCTTGTGCTGCAGGAAGCTCCGGGCCAGCCGGTGCCGGCTGTATGAGGCAGTGGGGACAGGCTGGCGTTGCTGCCACCCAGCCTGCCCCAGGGTTTCTGAGGGAAGTGGAGCAGGGCTCGGCCCTGCAGCATGTTTTGGGACACCAGATGTACTGGCTCCTGTGCCCCCCTGGCTACTTCCCCCTAGACTTAGTGCAGTGGCTGGGGGGTTGCTGGCACTGACCTGCTCGAGGAGCTTTCTGCTCTCCACTGGGATATCGTGGCTGGTGACAGAATGGCTGTGGGCAGCCGCGTTGGAGGTGACCTCTGTCTGCACTGCTTGGTCCTTCAGGTGGAGGGATGCATCACTGACCTGTGGGTAGCCAGTAGGATGTGGGATCACCCTGTGCCCCTGCTGTGCAGAGCTGGGGCTGGAGATGGAGCCACTTTGTGTCAACCCATGGACAATGAGCTGTGGGGGGAGGGCCTGTGGCAGAGGAATGTGGCCTGCACCAGGTGGGAGGCAGGAAGGCTGCTGGCTTTCATCCCTGTGCAGCCTCCACCGTGCCCTCCCTGTTGTGGCAATGTCTGCTGGACAGCCAGCAACCCTAGAAAGCCATCCCTGTGGTCCCTGACCTGTGATAGAGCATGGTCACAGGGAGAGTGGTGATCCCAGCTCGCTGATGAGTTGCAGGCTGCAGCAGTGCTGCCAGCCCTGGGACAGTGCCCAGGGTGTCAGTGGGGCCATTGAGGGGCTGCAGTCTTCCAGCTCACCTGGGTGGACTGTGTTGTGCCAGCCATGCCTGTCCTGTGACTGTGCTGCTCTGTACAGGGTGTGACGCTACAACCCTGTCCCTTGTGTGGCTGGCAGGACATCCCCTACCCTCCCATAGGGGTTCACCAGCTGTTTGCACAGGCTGTGGGGAAGGCATGGTGCCTGTGATGGGAAGGCAGTGAGGGATACATGCAGCGTGGCCTGCAGCTGTTGTGTCCAGCACTGGTACCTTGTCCATCAGCACCTGGCACTGCTTCATCAGAAAGACCAAGTCCTGATGCTCTTGCTCCATTTCACACTCCTGCTGCTGCAGCTGGGCCAGTCTCTTGCGATTCACATCCCTGCAGAAGTCCAGGTCCCGCTGCAGTGACTGGATCGTGGCCAGTACCTCAGCTGGCTCCAGCTCCTGCTGCTGTGTGTCCTGGCATACTCCGGGCTCCCCAGGCTGTGGCTCCGGCACCAGCGATTGCCTTTGGCCCTAGGACATGGTGTGAGCAGCATCTGTGCAGCTCATCACTGTGGCCAGCCCATCTTGCAGCTCCTGCCTGGGCAGACACCAGGGCCGAACAACTGTGGCAGTCCTGGTTTAGTGCAGAGCAGCAACAGAGCGTATTGCTGACAGGTGGGTGCAACCCTATCCACCTCCAGACACCACCACCCTCTGTGTGTGTGTGTGTGTGACATACACAGCCCCCCTGGGCTCACAAATGGCCAAGCCTCCAACACCACTGGCCCTCAGCACTGCAGTGACACCAGCATGAACTGTGGCACTATGGGAAGTGGTGGCCATGGGACCAGTGCAACCACAGCAAGACTGGATACTTCCAAGTCCTTGTGCTCTCCCCAGCCCTGGGGATGAGCTGTCTGGTGGCTCAGTCAAGGCTGGCCAGCGTCTCCTGTACCACCTGGCTGCCAGCCTGTGGCCACATGACCAGCACCTGGGTTGAGCACAGGGTTGGCACTGCTCACCTGGGACTGCCTGGCCTCTGTCTCCTGCTGAAGCTGCTGGATGGAGTCACTGAGCTCTGGTGTTGTCTCCTCTGCCTCTGGTAGCCCTGTACAGTGATACCTTTGAACCCTCAGGCTGGCCCTGAGGTACAGGAACCTCCCTGGATGTGCCACATTTTGGCCAATCCCTCGCTGCTGGAAGGACCACAACAGGGGACAGGCCTTTCCTGTAGCACCAGACAACACTCAGTCCCAGGGATGTCACCCAGCCCTGCCTGGGGCAGCCCCACCATCCCATGGCATTGACACTGCCACTCCCCATCAGAGGAGCACCTGGTGCCAGCAGGAGAGGCTGAGCCTGGGACACCTAGAAAAGCAGGGTAGAGCTGTGCGGGACCGCAGCCCACCCTCAGCAGCACCTGACCCCACCTGCCCACAGTCCTCACCGCAGTCTTCCTGAGCCATGATCCTCCTCACCGCTCTTTGTCCACAGCAGGCCGTGACACTTCCCTGTCTGCCACTATGAGGTCACCAGGTTCGAGTCATCATCCTCAGAACTGGGCCAGGACACGGCAACACCCTTGTGCCATGGCGGGGCCTTGCCGCCCTCACGCTGCCCCTGCCCTGTCCTCAGGCTGAACTCAGCCTACGGCTGGCCCCAGGACACGCCACAGGCCTGTGGCCAGGGCTGGGTGGCAGCGGGACCAGCAGTGGTGTCACACTTGGGGCTGTGCCCTAGGACAGTCAGGCACAGCAGCCTCCACAGTGTGGTCCCTCTGCTTCGCACCTCTTGCTCGGGGCAGGGCCAGGGAGATCCGCTGCAGGGGCACGTCCTGGCGGAGCCGCAGGCCACAGGCCCCAGGGGAGGCAGAGCGTGTGTGTGGCCGGTAGACTCGCCCTGCCTGGGGCCACCCCACAGTGCCTGGGTGCTCAGAGCAGCAGAGCGGGTCCCTGAGTGCCAGCCACACCTTGAGTGTGGGCACAGAACTGCCACTGGCCTGTGCCAGTGGCACAGGGCTCCCTGTGCTGTGTGCTGTCCCTTGGCAATGCTCAGTGCAGTTTCACAGGTAAGTGTTTTAACTGGAAATTTCCAAGGCCCGGCTGGGCCCAGAAGGTGAACGCAGATGTACCATAATAGAAATCATCGGTTGCTATGACGACCTGCTCCACCAGCGGGTCGCAGCCACAGGCAGTGGGAGCAGGCGCAGCACCAACAGTGCTGCTAACAGGGCTGCTGACCCCCCCTGGCCAGAACACAATTTGACCATAATTTCTGCCAGTGCAAGGGAACAAAATTTCCCTGCAGCTTTCAATCTTGTTCAGGCAGCAACAGCCAGGGCACAGAGCCTCCACGGGGCATAGAGGGTCCGTGGGGCACAGAGCCTCGTGCTGTGTGCTGCGCTGTGCCATGTTCCATCATGCCATATGCGATGCCATGCTGCATTGAGCCAACACATGTGCCACACCATGCTGAGCTGTGGGCTGTGCCTGTCTGTAAGGGCTTGACCCTGCTCCAGCTCTCTGTGAGCCTGTGGGGCAGCCCCATAGCCCTGACCCACAGCTGCCCACTTATGCTTGGTTGGGGCTGAGGGGACAGGGTGGTCAAATTGGCCCTTCTGCTCGGTGAGCTGCAGTCCTGGGGGTGGGAGTTGTCTCACTTTAATTACTGCCGTAATGTTATTCTTTTCAGTGCCACGTTAATTGAAATTAAACAGCTGCCGCGTTCAGACTGGGACAAAAGTGAATCCTTTTTCATTCTCCTCTGGTTTAATGAAGACTGACATGCTGGGAGAAAACAAAGGCAATCCTGCTGCTGCCTCTCGCTGGCACACACACCAGCAATTACTGGGAACCCTGCAGGCCGGCAGAGACACCCTGGAGCACCCCACAGCCGGAGCCCCAGGCAGCCCCATCCTGTGTCCCAGGGTGCTCCTATCCAAAGGGTCTGGCTTGGGCATGCAGGGAATGGGACACCCACAACACAGGGGATGCCAGCACGGGTGTCTCAGTGCCCAGGTGCTGAGTCCAGGCTTTCATTCTGTCTCTTAAGAAGCATCTGGCCACCAACCATGTCCCAGTGTGGCCCCTTGGCCTTGCCATGCTGCCAAAGTCCTGCCATCCCTGTAGGCTCAGCTGGCTTCAGCCTCACAATGCTCACAGTCCCCAACTGGTCCATGCAGCCCTTCAGCCTCAGCCAGGGCAGCAGTGTCAGCCCAGGTGGGTGCCTCTCTCTAGCCTTAACCTTTTTTCTGTTTTAGGACCAGGAGTTTGCTCATGATGCCATTCAGAACTTTAAAATATGCAAAATGAGGCACTGGTACAAACCTCATTAACACCCGCCTCCAACATCATTAAGATGTTTCCAAGAAAATTAATTGAGAGACTCATTAAAAATAAATTAAGAAAAATGTGTTGCAGAGCGCCTGCTCCGAGCTCGTAAATCACGGCTCAGAGCTCCAGGCCGCTGCACAGGCAATTAACGCCAGCCAATTTGTTTTATCCCGGCTGCGAAAATTAGAAAGCAGACATGGAGATTAGATTAGGGCTGTCTGTCAAGCGGAACTTGGAGTGAATATTTTAGGATACAAAATGGAAATCAGGAAAACAAAGCTGGGACTTCATTCGGGAGAGCTGGCGGGCAGAGGGTGGAGGGGAGGAGGGAGGTTTGGATGTTCTCTGTTCTGAGGACGGCACCATGGCCGCGTGCCGATGACACCCATCTCACGCTTCCGCCGCCCCCAGCTCCATCCTCGCCTGCTCCTCACCATCCTCGGTGGCTGAGCAGATGCTGATGGCCCCTCTTGGGGAGTGTGAGCGAGCAGTAAGAGCACTCTGAGCTGCTGAGTGTGACACAGCCCAAGCCAACATGTCTCCTGTGTGTGCCGATTACACACTCGGCTTAGCAACCACAGCGCAACTGGGTGAGAACACTGCTTGGGGCTCCATCAGCTTTGGGCCTTTGGTACCCCTTTGCCCAAGCCCAGCAGCTTCCACCACAGCAGCTCAGATCACTTTATATTCATGAACAGAACTGCAGGGCCTCTCTGCAAAACAAGTGCTGTGATCCCCATTTCACAAAGGGGAGCCAAAGGAGAGGTGAGTTGAGGTCTTGCTTGTACCTATGTGAATGCACAAGCAGTTCATGCAGCAGCAGCCACTGCACTGGCACATCCCAGCACTGTGTAGGGCATGCCAGTGGCTGCTTGTGGAGCCAAATGTCCAGCCATGGTGGTACACGGCCCTGGTGGCAGTGGGGGCCCACATGCTCCCACTGCTCATGGTGTAGGGGGACCTTGGAACTCTGGGAAAGGCTCTGGGAGGAGACACGGGCACTGAGTCAGCCTGTATGATTTAAGTGATGCTGAGTGAGGGATTTAGTGAAGAGTGAGGGGTAATTTGGTCACATATCAGAATGTAAAAGCAGAAAATGGGAATGGAGCTGTTAGCAGAAGGCTCTTAGGTCAGCAGGTGAAAGTGCATGCCAATCTGATGGCTGAGATGAGACAAGCCAAACTGAAACTGGAGTGCAGCACACACAGGAGTGGTTACCTCTGGGCAGAACAAGCTGGACACTGTGGCCATCCACAGCCGCTTGGAACAAAATCTGAACAGCTCGTTTCCAGCTCTGCCCACCTGTGCCTCATCCCAAAGGAGACAGTGATGCTGGTGGTGTCATGGTGGGGTGGGACACACCAAATGAGGTCTTCATTGCCCCCCTGGTGCCCTGAGACAGCCAGCCTGCCCAGGGGGATGTGCTTGAGCGGCAGGGGAGCTGAGGTCACCGGTGTGTCACTGTCTGCAGGCTGGGGACCACAGACATGGCCACAGACTTGGGCCAAACTCCTTCTGGAACGCTCCTGTTTGCAGCTAAAGTTTTCCATGCTGAGCGTAAAAATACATTTAATTCAGATGTTTGATTAACCTCCTTTCAACTATTCCTGAGTTATGGAACAAGTGGAGAAGTTTTGCATGTAAAAGATTACTAGTGTTAAAAATAACTGTAACCACAGGAAAAAATAGCTATACATTTTCAGCTAGATTGGACTCCATCCTCCGGTAGCCCAACTCTGACCTCAGAATAAAACAAACATGTTTTGGGCCCCCTCCGTCAGCCTGTGCTGGGAAGGGGAAAGGACAAACGAAAAAACAAAAGCCCAACCAAGTATCCCAGGATTTGTGTGGGAAAGGGTCTGGAGAGCCCTGGACAGCTTTGGAGAGCTGCAGGAGTGGCTATATCAGGGGCTGGTTGTGCATTTCAGTGACAAAATTGACAGAGATGGCATGTGGCTGCTTGGCAGAGCCTGCTGCAGGATCGAGGAATCGTGAAAGGGTCGGGGTTGGAAGGGACCTTAAGCTCATCTTGTTTTTGGGGGACACCTTCCACTAGACCAGGTTGCCCCGTCCAACCTGGTCTTGGACACTTCAGAGATGGGGCAGCCATAGCTCCTCTGTGCAACCTGTCCCAGCGGTGGGCGGGGGCTGAGAGAGGACTGGGGGAGAAAGGAAAGCAGAGAGTGAAAAAAACCAGGA